AGGGAAATGGAGGGACAGGCAGGCGAGCGAGGGAAATGGAGGGACAGGCAGGCGAGCGAGGGAAATGGAGGGACAGGCAGGCGAGCAAGGGCCAGTACGAGGGGGAAGCACGCGACCGCGGCATCCGCCCCCCGGGCCGCCCGCCGATCTGTCCCCCGGCCCGGGCCGGGGGAAACGGACAAAGAAAAAAGCACATGTTTGTGATTGGGGAATTTCCTCCCCCACCGGAAAGTGTGTTTTTTTTTTATTGCCGGGCATATTTGTGTCATCATGCCGGTCGCACGCCATCAGTGCCAACGCATGAGGATCGCCCTGGCCCCTCGCGTGCCCGAGCGCCGTACTCTCACCCGCACGGCCGATGGTCTGGTAACCATAACCTCGGGCGCCGTCCCTCCCCCCGGCGGATGCAGCCGTGTGGCCGTCCGCTCGCGCGTGGCCCGATCCCCCGCCCAAGGCGATCGCATGGCTGCGTTTCAGACATCCGCGCGCCCCCATGTCCCTTTCCCTGCGACAGTCGCCTCTTTTTTGTTGTCCACCAGGGCAGAGAGGGATGCGCAGCGAGGCATGCCCACTCCCCTGGGCACCGGTCGTCTGGTGCTCTTCGCTGCTATTTTTTTTTTCGCTTTCGGTCGCCTGCCCCTGGCCCCCTTTCGCCGGAAGGCTCGCCGGTTTGTCTCAACCAGGCAGGCACACGCGCTCGCCCGCCGATCGCACGGTGGCCTGGACCCTCGGCGCGCGCAGGGCCCCCGGGATGGCGATGCCCAAGGAGAGCCGGGCCACCCCATACGAGCGGGGTCACCGCGGCCACCGACGGAGCCCGCCACCCCCGGAGGAATAATAAGGCCCCCTCCAGGGAGGCGGACATATCCCTGCTGGCCCCCAGCACCGCTCCCCTCGCGAGTCCGCGCCCGCCCCTCCCACCAAGGATCGCCCCCCCCGCCAAGTCCCCGCCATGGAGCCCACCAGCGCCGAGGCCACCGCGCCTGCCAGCCCCGAGCTGGCGGCCACACTGCTGGCCGAGCGCCAGACACTCAACCGCGCGGCCGATCGCCTGCTGGCCGCGCACGCCGCCGCCCTCAACACCGCCCCCTGATGACCGTGCGTCCGACCGACCCTTTGCCGGCCCCGGGCGCGCGTGCTGACCTGCGGTTCCCCCGCCCCGCCCCCTGGCCCCCTGGCCGCCGCGGCCGCGCGCACCAGTCACCATCCACGACCTGGTGTCGAAGGCCCTCTCGGCCGATGGCCTCACGCCGGGCTCGTGCGCGCCGCCCGCCTGCTCGTGTGCTCCCCTGCCCCGGGTCCCCGGGTCCCCGGCAGCCGACACTGACACCCCCGCCCCGCCCCCCCCCCGCCCGACCGCTTGCCACCAGGACCATCGATGTGCCCCTGCAGGGCCTCCCCACCGGTTCGGCCCCAGCCCCCTGCCGCCCGGCCGAGCCCCGCCCGAATTGACCCCCGCCCCCCCTCCGCCCCGCGCCCCTTGGCGTGTAGACGAGCTCATCGAGCAGGTGCTCCTTCTCGTCGAGGGCCGCACCCCCGGCGAGCGCCTCGCCGGCCTGCACATCCTCTTCACCGTGGCCCACCGGCGTGCGTCGACGCACCGCCCCTCGCCCCTTTCGTGCGTGCCAGCTTGTCAGTCCCTGACCATGCCCCCTGCCCCCCCCCCCCCCCTTCCCGACAGAGAGTCCCTTCGGCGCGTTCCTCGAGCGCGGCGCGGCCGGCGCCCTGTGCGGCGCCTTTCTCCGATCGGCCGACGACATCCCCCTCCGGCTGGCCTCCTTCTGCCTGCTGAGGCTGGCTTCATGGCCCGGCGCTTCCGGCGAGATCCCGGCCGAGGTGGCCACCAAGGCGGCGGCCCTGGCCCTGGAGAACAGCCCGGTCGCCTTGCCCCTGGGAAGCCACTGCCGCGACCTGGCCCTCGGCCTGGCCCTCAAATGTGCGCTGCCCCCTGGTGTCCGTCCCCGGCCCGCGCCCGGCACACGGCTGACACGCCCCCCCCCCCCCTCCTCCCCGCCCCCGCGTGCCGCTTTGGGCCCCTCCTCGCGCACCAAGGCAAAGCCCGGTCGCTGGCTAGCCCGGTCCCCCGGCTCCTCATCGACATGCTCATCCGCCGGCCGGCCAGCCACTTCTCCACTCACATCCTGTCCACCCTCGAGGCCCTGCTCGATGCGGCCCCTCCGGATGACGGTGTGCCCACCTGCCCCGGCCCCCGCCCTGCCCGCAT